TATGTAAATTAGTGATTTATAGTTATAATTAATACATTATGATAATATAATATTAATAATAAATTAAATTTTATAGTATTATAATGTAATCATTAATATTTTAAATTTAATTGCATTGTTTTTTCTAAAACATTGCATTGTTTTTTCTAAAATTTAAAATAATTTATATTTATAAAATATATCAATTATTTACAATTATTTATATATATTTATTAATAAAAATATATATAGTTTAATATCAATTATTTAAATATTATAAGATAACATATTTGAATATAATATATAATAATAGCTTTGTTTAATTTCATTGAAGAATAAAAATAATGGAAATCATGCATTGATTTCAAGAAATTGCAACATTTATAGCGATCACTGCATGCCGCTGTGCTCAGTGAAAGCCACGTCACAGTTGCTAACCTAAAGGTGACGTAGAAATTATTGGAGATGACGATAGTATTCCAATAATTGGTAGTTTCCCATTTCATTGACGCTTCCTGTTATTATAACTTTCTCTTATATAATTGTATGAATTATAATTAATATTGTTAATATTGTAATTGATATCACAATTAATATTGTTTGTCTATATTTTATAGAATTCTCAGAAGATAATTTTGTCTTCAAGCTTCTTTTATATTAGAATATTACAATATTATAATATAATTAGATGTTTTATAAATATTGTTTAAATTTAATAATATTTAATATTATTTAATATATTAATAATATTAAATATATTAAATAATATTAAATAATATTAAATAATATATAATATTAAATAATATATAATATTTCCTATTTATAAAAAAACCAAATTTAATAATTTTTCATTTTTATTACATATAAAAATAATATAAAAAATTTAAAATTTGAAATGAATTATAAATTTTAGATTAAATATATTTTCATTAGTTTAATTATAAGATTTTTATTGGTATATAATATAATTGTTTGTATGAAACTTCTTGAAAGGATACAAACTATATGGGAAGATGTTCGTATAAGAAGATATTCAATTCATATGTAAGTACGATTCTTATTTGGGATGCTGCAGAATGTAGTGGTAGTTATGATGTATTTCTGAGAAGGAATTATTATGTTGAAACTGGTCGGCACGCCGGCTGACTCTGATCGGTGGCGCGCGACCGTGCCCGCTCTTTTCTGCTGTGCAACCTTCAAAGGCCACAGAATGTCGATGAATGAAGTAGGAAAGTTGCAGAGTGGCGGCCGACCGGATGTGTATACTAGGTGGCCAAGAAAATGAGAGCTCCTACGTCATTCGACGACGAACTAGTTTTGCGCCCCTTCTCAATGATGTGACGCTGATAGACATACTATCAATAATTATCGTTCTATTTTTAATAAGTTGATTTATTGATTTTAGTACATCTTTATTTATTTTACAAAATTTTATTTTTTGAATTATCATTTATTATAAAAATATTTTTATTATTTTATTATTTTATGCGATATAAAAATCTAAAACAAAAATTTATAATTAATTGTAATATAAAATGGAATATGTTAAAAATTGAATAGTAAGAAAACAATGAAATCATGTATTTATATAATTTAAATACTAGAATTTCAATTGCTTTTGATGAGAATTGTTTAAAATCTTATCTGTTTCATTTTCTTCAATGTAATGCAAAAAGTAGTTCTATATTTCCTTTCTTAAAGCTGTTATTTTAATAAAAAAATATTTTAAAAAATTTTAAAATTTGCTCTGAAAAATCTAATATGATTCTTAAAGAAAAAATTAAAAAATATATGACAAATACTTTCTGTATTCATTGCATTTAAACGCAGATCTTTACAAATTAATGATTGATTTAAGTTGATTTTGATCTTCAATTTTGAATTTTAAATATTTAATTTCTGAAATTAAAAATTTTTATTGATGGAGACTATTATAAGCTATGTGATAAACAATTTTCTTTAACCTAAGCTTGCAAATATAATTAAAGTCTATTAATATTATATGTTATACAATTATTATTCAAAATGATTTACCTTTTTATATCAAATATGGATAATCATATATATAAGGCATTAATAAAATCTTGGCAACCGGACATGAATAAATTGACGATATGAGTCACGTGTAAATGACATCTAATTGGGTCATTATCTCACAGTTGCTTCTTAAAGTGATAAGAAACGCAATAAGAAGCTTTATAGATTGTCAACGTTTCGTACAACAAATTTTTTAAAATATTAAGATGTTAAGAAAATTTTAATAATATAAATGTTTTGCATTCTTGCATTTCACATAAACTATTATTTGTAGTTTCTTCTTGGTTATGATTATACATATTCTGCCATCTTATTATTTTGTTTCTTTGTTATCTCACAGCATGTCGCGCATATCGTTTGTCTCTCTCGATAACCTATCTGTTCTCGAATTACCTTAGATTGGTAACAATTGTATTTTATCCTTCTCTGTTTTATTAAAATGTCAGACTATGTTGACAAATACATCAACTACTACGACATCCGTCGTGAAACAACCACATGTCTTGACAATGGTTGAACTGATTGAAAATATTGTTTTATATTGTTTTCTCTTAGCGAAGTGGACCGTGGGAATACAAGTGAGTGAGCGGCACACAGTATTTCAGGGGAACTCGTGGCAACCGGCTCTCGGTAGCTTTTCTTACCATCATTCATGATACTATGGTACGGCAATAGGATGATTGCCTGATGCCTAAAGTGGATAAAGTCTTCTATAGTAATTTAACTCGAACAGGGCACAGGGGTGTGTTAGATAACCAGCCTTTTACATTTTACTATCACTGAACTGTCCTAACGACGAACCATGTTTGACCTCTACATCCAAAAATATGTTTACTCATTATTTCTTTGACTTCAAAATTCAAATTCGTGATGTTGATTAGTCATCAAAAGCAAGGTTATGTCGATACAATATATTTCATCTAATATCTTTTCGAGAAATTTAATAATATATCAAATTCTGTATGTTAAAATTGTTATATTATATAAAGTTTTTTCAATAAAAATATTGTTGTAAATTTATGTTCATGAAAGGAATATTATAACTTATAATAAGCAAATAATCAAACGCTCAATAAATTAACTGGTTAACCTCTTTGCAAATTTTAACAAAAATACGTTTTGGCGAACATAAAGTAGTAAATTATAAGAATCTGAATGAAAAACTATATAATATTTTCTAAATATAAAGAATTTTCTAAATAAATAGAATTCATAAATTTTATTTCACTATATTAGATTTTAAATGGTTATGAAATCTGTGAATAAGATTTTTATAATTAGTTCGATGGAGATTATACCATAATCATGAACAATTATTTCATGTATTATTTATTGATTTAATAATATATTGCAGAAATTATTCCTAATCATTATATTCTTATTAGATAAAAAATTTTTAAATTTGAATTAATAAGAAAAAGCTTCTTAGAGCTAGATATATCTATCACATTTTATTATTTACATAAACAAATGGCATATTTGAGATATATCATTTAATCTTTTACTACGTCTCTTTTGTAATATAATGCCTTACATTATATTAAACCGAATCAAACAGATTCTAATCAGTATGTATAATTCGTAATAATTTAATAATGGTAAGTTAATTTATCTGAAAAATTTTTTTCAGTAATAAAATTATTTGAAAATCAAAATTATTGTTATTAGATTAATTTAAGATAGATATTATAATAGAAGATATAAATATATGTATATCTTATTCTTTATCTTGTAATAATGGAGAATCAAGTAATAAATTGAATAATAATTCTAATAAATTTTATTTTGAAACATGGGAAAATATTAAATAATAACTAATTGTATGTATTTACTTTTTTCAATTTATTAGTCAATTAAAGTTTAATTTAATAAATTTTGCTTAATTTCTATCGAAAATATCTCTTCTTTAGTTATGGTTTATAAGATTATAATTCATATTCCTTTACTATATTATTTAGAACTATTATATCATTTCTAGCAACATATTATTATATAAAATTTTTCTTTTTATAAATTGCATTCTAATATATAAATTTATTAATATGCATTATATTAAAATAATCTGTGTCCGTTTCTCATCCGGATTCAAACAATTGTAGAGGTTGGTCTCTTCAATGACCTGTTTCTCTCTCATGATTGTCTCTCTGTCGGATACGCATAACATTAAATAATCACGACAAGATAGTAAGCTCAAACAATTAAAGAGTTCTATGCTTAGGAAAATTGAATCAACGTTGGGATCGTTTCGCGTAACGTTTCACTAATTGGATCCTCGGATGTAATTTCATTCGTTTGTTTCATTGGACTCTATCAAGAAGACAATGTACGATAAAAATTAAAGCAATATATGTTATAGTAGTATATAAAATGAATAAATACATTAAATAAGTCGATAAAATTATCAATTTTGAAAACAAACAATCAATTTTTTATAAATTAATATATTAATATTATAAAGTAATATGGTTAAATAAATTTAGGAATATTTTAAAAAAATATTTTATAAAAATATTTTATAATGTCTATATATATATATGTCTATATATATAAAACATATTAATAACTTACAGGTAGAACAAAAAAAAAATCAAAAAGTAATAAAAGAAATAAAACAAAATAAATTTGAATGATAATTAAGAATCACGATTTTCTATTTTTAATCATTGAAGAATATCTTATGCTTCTGTAGCGTTACAATAACCATAGTATGAAATATATACTAGTATTCGAATTGAGGTATCTGTTTATAATTTATAGGGCTCAAAAGAAACTCCTAGATTTATCAGTGTGTACTATAAATTTATTTATTCAGCGACATTTCGCGCTTCTCCACTTATCCTTAACCGTGAGTTTTATTACTTCCGTGAAGCTGTCAATGGTCGCCTATTATCCCCCTTTGCGTGAGGTATACCTTTTTTCTAGAGCTGCAAAGAGGAAAGGGGGGACCGCCTGATTTCGCGATCCCGTGCGATGTCCCTGAGCAGTTGGCAGTGGTACTAACAGATTGACAGACGTACTCGCCGCGAACTGACCCCTTCGTAGTGATTTAGTTATCTCTCTATCGACGCCTCTTCAAGTCCTGCGTTTTAATCGTAACGAAAAAGAAAAAAAACAGTGCTGCCGGAAGTGTTGTATCAAAAGGTAACGTGAATTCTTCGCTGAATGAGCTGCTGCCGGTTTGAGATCGTCTTGAGACGAGATATTATGATTAGGTGAGTATGTCATTTTTGTGCTTTCTCGCCTAATGTTCCCAATGTTAAATTAATTATAAAAATTTTTTTTATTAATTTTATTTTTGATAAATTTTAATAAAAATTTAAATAAATCTCATTTAAACAATATTTATTTATATTAAGGATTCATTAAATAAATTTTTTTTTTTATAATAGATTAAATGATTCTACTTAAATGATTAATGATCCTATAGTAAAAATATAATTTTTTTATAGTATATTTTATTTCATATATTTTCAAAAGAATGCTTTTGAAATATAAAAATAATTATTTTAATACAAATACATATTTTTATAAATTCGAATTATTAATATGATTATTTTCTAATCTTTTCATTACAATTTGGATGAATTATAATTAGAAAATATTGATTGTCATTTCAGTTGAAAACTTTATTGTTGCTTTAATCTTGTTAAATCTATTACTTAATTCAAACTTCCTTATTGCTTTAACTAAAGATTCACTATGTTTTCGTGAAGTACATTTCATTGCATGCGCGAGTAAATTAAATATACTGGTATTTCGTGTGCTTCTTAACTTTTGTAAGTGTTTAATAGGGTATAACAGATCAAATAAATTCGCTGTTAAATCAGCTTACAGAGCTCGCTAATAAGCCTAGTAGATTTCGAGCGGAAATAGATCATACCGGTCGTTCGTGTCACTTATGAATACTCTTGATAGATGTAATTGTGTTTAAAGTAGCAGTTTCTGATACTTGTTCAATTTATGATTATGATTACATTACATTTTATACACAAAAAATTATTGAAAAATATTTTACACTTTTCTCTTCATTCCAATCTTTTATATTAGATATCTTTTTCTTTGAATATTGTTTGATATGTATGATATTCGATTTTTAATTTTTTATTTTTAAAAACAAATTACACAATATTTAAATTAAAATTTTTAAAAATAAAAAGTATTATAAAAAAATATTATAAAAATATTATAAATTATTATATAATTCAGAATATTATTTATGTAATATTATAATGACAGAATCATTTAGACTAAGTTCATATTTTCGTGAATTTAAAAGATAATTAATATGTATATTACTTCATCATAAAAAAGATTGAGAAAATTCCATCTTTAATGATCTAGTAAAATTAATTTAAAAGTTCCAATTAAAAAAATTAAAGAATTTATTCTTTTTTATTTATGTTTCACACAATTATCAGTGCAAGGAATCCTAGAACTATTTAACATAAATTATTAAATAATTTTAAATGATTATGAAGAATTTTTCAATACTAATGTTACTTAAACAAAATGAATTAATATTAATAATTAGGATTTAATACTATTGAAAAAATCAGAAAATTAAATTCAGTTTAAATTAATCAGCAATTCAATAAAAATTGGATACAAATATTTACTATACAATGGATATAATATTTATATTTGTTTTATTTACATTATCTTGAAAAAATAATTAAAATATTTTTAAAAAATATGAACATAATTTTCTTCTATATAAAAAAATCTTTTTATAAAATTTAGATCATATATAAGTTGAAAAATAAAGCACAACCAGAATTTTTATATATCTTATCACGTTTATTTTGATTTCCAGAATTGATTCTTTAAAGATATCACATGTGTTTTTTAAAACTTTGCATAAGATTATATAATAATATTAACAAATCAAAGTTAACAATTAAATAATATATTAAATAATTAAAGTTTAAATCTTGTTATTAAATACTTTTTTTTTTGAAAAATAATGTACTTTTCCGTCTTTTAAACTTGATTTACATGTTCCAATAAACTGATAAAGAAAGTTTATCCATAAAATCTTGAAATGTCGCTCATATTTGCGGGAATAAAAAATTGTAATGCATTGTATATCACATTGCTAAGTACTCAAGTACTTAAATTTCAAGGTCATGCTTTTATCAGAAATTTCAAAATTCAAAAAAAAAAAAAAATATACATTGTAATGTGACACGGAAATGATAAATTGCTAATTCATCATTAATGTCACGTAAGAAGATGTAATACATCTCTGGCAATATAAAACAATTGAATATTTTGAAAGTTTATTTTCAAAATGATGCTTTATTGTAAATTTTTAGTAAAAAAAAGTAAAAAAAAAATATATTTCTTTCTTTATAAATATTCAAGCTTTCGATAATTTATAAGATCTGATAAAACTAAAAAAATTTGTTATTAGAAAATTAGCCTGAAGCCTTATATATAGTTAGAGATTTGATAAAATATATAGAAAAATCGTGAAACATTTTATAAAGAAAAATCTAATAATCTTTCATGTTATATTATATGAACAGAGAAATTTAATTCTATTTTTAAAAAAAATCCTATACTTTGCTTGTTCGTTTTCGAAATATCTTAGTAAATATAGATAAACATATCGTATAGTGACATATGAAAGATGAACACAATCATATTGCAATTTTGTCTGGAAACTTTAACACTGTGAAAAATCGCAACATCCGGAAGAATAATTTTCGAAAACTGATGAAAAAAAGGATATCAAATAATTTAAGTTCTTATGTTATATAAGAATTATATAAAAATGCCACTTCTTAAGATTTTAAAATTTTACGTTATCTATTAAAAAATATTGATTTTTGATTAAAAAATATTTATTTCATTTTTTAATTTAATTTAATTTGATAATTTCATTTGATTTAAAAAGAATTAAATAGATAAAAAAAATTTTTAAACTTGTAGAATATTATTCAAAGTTTAAAATGATATCTGTTTGGAAATGTTTACTTTCGAGAACTTCAAATTTAATAATATTGAAAAATCTAAAGTTTGCTGAAATAATAAAACGAAATACAACAATGGAATACCATAAGCATAATGGGGATTTATAGTATAGCAAGTCCGTAATTTACAATTTGATTTTCAATAGTCATTTGTCTCTAGTTTCATTGACTAATAGATTTATTATTGAAAACAATCAATCTTAAAATTTCTTCATGTGTTGCGAACATAAATTCTCTAATTAAAAAATAAGCAGAAAAAAACATTGATTTGAGAATAGCATAAATATATACATTTTTTCATAAATAATGAATAAAAAAATGATACAAAAGCAACGAGATTAGAATATTAAATGTATGAAGAATGAATTTCAATAAAATTTTAATAATCTGATTTATAGTAATCCGGCACATCTGATAATCGAATTAGTATTAGCTTCAATTAAGATAATAGTGAATATTATTTGATAATCATTATTTCGCATATATTTATATTATTTTTTAATCATTTTTATATCTTGTATATATATCTATAGATCTTTTTTTATTAACAATCGTTATATTAATCGTATCTTTTTTTTTTATATTATCTTACCATTTATATTATTTTAGAAATATAGTTCAATAATACATTTATTTCATAATTCTGCATTATCGAATTTTTATTGTAATGTATCTTAATCATATCAAAATTAGAATGAATCATTCATGTTTAGAAAAAATTTCATTCACTATTATGTTAATTTAACATAAATAGAACTGTAAAACTCTTATTTTTCTTTAAATCAAAATACAAATGTCCTATTTTTACAACGAACTGATTTTCTTGATCAATTGCTATTTAAATTAGGATGTCTACAAGTCACGTGGAATACTGCCTTCGAGTTCTAGATCCTAGAAACTCTAAAAGGATATATTTTACAGTATCTTTAATGAGAGAAGTAGGTTTCTTTAGAAATTCTATTAAAGTAAAGTGTCATTAAGATTTTAAAATAGATACATATTTAGATGTAATTTAAAAAAAAAAATATTTCTTTTTTTTTTTAATAGATTCAAAGAATATATTTGTACTTTTATTATTAAATTAGATTAAAGTTACATTTGGATTTAGATAAAATGACCTAGATAAGACCTAGATAAGAAGACCAAAAAAAAAAAAAAAAAAAAAAATGATCGAATTCCAAAATAAAATTGATAATAAAAGTGCAATAGAGTGAATCCAAACAAATTTCATTAGCAAAAAAAATTAATAATCAAGGTCGTTTGAAGGTCACATAATTTTATTTCACGAGTTTAAAGTTTCATTAAATAACAAAGAATCTAATCCCTTTTACGTCCAGCTTTCGATCTATCGATACGTCATTTCGTTCAGAAGTCATAATAGTTTATGCAATTCAATCTATATAAACAGATTATACGAATAAAATGAAATTACGCAATAATTCCATTATCACATACGTCTATGTACACGTCACGTTTATATTTTCCATTCGATACGATTAAACATACGAATGATAATTTATTTCACACGTAACATTCGAATTAGCTTCAAGGAAGAAGCATTGTATACCCTCGAATCTTATCGATTCACGTACGTGGAAAGTTAGAGGCGCGTATGGCGTGCAGCGCGTCGAATTTCTTCGGTACCGCCGAAACGACGATACGCACACAGCTCTCATTCATCGCAGCTCGCAGCATCCACCCACGCTGCAATCGTGCTGCAACCGTGCTGCAGTATGTGACGCGTGATCCGCAAGATTTTTACGCTGCTTACCAGTTGATTGCCCCCAGAGCATGTTGATGACGTCAGTACACTCGATGACTCACTACTCACCATGTATACGATGCCGGACACACATGATCGTGCACGCGCATAATTCGCATTACTTTCACGCGCGTGTGTTCACCTGAACGCACGACACGCTCACGTTCGTTCTTACCATACTGGATCACTCTCGCTCTTACTATTCTATTTCTGCCGATTTGGGGCATACCAAGTCCGATAGAACTCGTTCTCGCGCCAGATAGAGAGTGTCTCGTGAATGATATCATAAGTTAATTCTGATCTTGTTAGTTTAGATGAAATTTTATCTTTGTTTCCCTTGTCTGAATGATATAATTGAGAGTTTTTTTTCTTTATTTAAGTAAATAGAAGATCTTTATTTCGTTTTCTCATTATGAAAGTAAAAGGGTTTGAGCGTTTCTACAGTTCTTTTATCATTTTGAAAATAGTAAATTGG